CTGCCTTTACGACCTCTATGGCCTGGGTTATGTTACTTGCCTCTCTGGGTTTCTTTTTCTCATCTATACAATAAGGATAATGATAGTACCTCCACAGAGTTTTCGTGAGACTAAAATGAGTTAAGATTTATGAACCTTTGAACACTGTCTTGCAGTTATCAGCGCTCTATTTTTAATTGATCCTCTCAGCACTGGTCTTATCCTACCAGGGGCCTGGGAATGGGGGAGGGGGCAGGTTTCATCCCTCTGTTGCTTCATCGGTATAATGAGCACATATTGTAATCAGGAGGGAAGGCAGGAAGGCAGGAGGGAAGGAGGTTAAAACACAGTCTGCACAGTCCTTGCACAGAGGCCTGAGCTGCTCTAAGTGATGAGAAAGAAACTCATCACTTTCCACTTGCCCTTTTGACCAGAGAGGAAGCCAGTCCCAGCTGAATGGGAGTTCCAGCTCTAACTGAATTTGGTGAGTGTCTGAATGATAGCGCCGCTCTTACTCCCTCATAAATCAAAGCCAGTGAATAATTCTAATGGTGCATAAACAGAAAATATGAAAATTAATGCTTGCAGGAACCTTATTTAATTTTGCTGTAAGCCGATTTCCATGACATTTATGCTGTTTGTTTTGTGCAGTTTGCATGTACGTGGTTTTTTTCCTTTCTTTCTTTTTTTTTTCCTTCCTCTTATTTTGTTTTCTGTTTTCTTTTTCCTTTTGGCTCAGTTTCAGAGAGGCTAGTTATCTGCACATTCATCTCTGGAATGACCTTCCTTTCTTGAAACGCATGTCCTTCTGTTTGTAATAAAAGGTCATAAACTTGTCGGGCCCATCAAAACCATTACTATGGCAATACACTACAGGATTGCGATTATTAACCTCTGGATAAACAGGCAGGCAGGGAAGATGGATGGAGAAGGATAAGGCTTGTGTTTATACACATTTATCTTTGGTAATTAGCCATCTGGGGGAAACCGCAAATACAGGCAACAGAAATTGATTTATCTTCAAATAATAAGTTTTGCTTTACAACAAGGTCTAAAAGTGGATCCTCTCAAGTGCTAATTTTGCATGTCACTTGCATGCTTTAAGGATGAAAGTAGTAATTACCAGGCCTTTCATATGCAAAAGTAAGGTGCAGAAGAGAAGCTGGCTTCATCCACTAGGAAAAAAAAAAAATTATGTTTCCCAGAGTCACCCCAGGTTCTGGAGGTCCTGAAAACTGGTCATGGAGGTCTGTGTCTCCTGGGAAGCCTGGGGCCACCCAGACAGGGTCAGCTGTGGCTGTGTGTGACCCAGAGAGGGGGCATTGCTGGCTCCATCAGGCTCCTGTGGCCATGAACTGGCCTTCCTGCAAGGACTCCAAGGTTCAAAGACAAGAGCTGAACATTTGAGTGACACCCCCAAGGAAGTCAGGGTGCGTCGGCAGACCAAATGGGAATGGAAGGAGCCAGAAGCTGTGTGTTCCATTTCTATCACTGGCTCCTTAATTAAGGGCTCCCTCCCACCACCTCCCCCGGCCAAAGGCCCTTCTGTCCCAGGATGTACTGGCCCGGCCCAGCAAGGAATTTGTGCAGGTGATTCATTTCTCTTTCATAGTTACCCTCAGAGAAATGCCCGCTTTTAATTAGCTGTGGTTCAAAACCATCCATCCAGGCTGGCACGTGGCACCCTCCGAATACATTCAAAGACAAAGGAAAGCCGAGCAGAACACTCGGAGAGGCCCCACCGACATCCATCTGCTGCAGCTGCGTGTTCGCCCATTAAACCCTTCTCATAAATAGCACTGGATCCCGCAGTCCTTTGCCAAATGTTTTTTGAGCTGTTTTTATTAATAACAAAGTGGAATTAGTTGCTGTCTGAAATGACCCAGCATGTTGCCACCTGTGAACCCTTTGGGTAGGTGGGGAGGAGGTGGAGCCCCCCTCCACTATCATGGCATGCCGTGGGGGGTGCTGGGACCCATAAGCTGGTGTGGGTGGTGCAGCTGGATGGCAGCAGGACAGTGGCACCCACTATATGCAACCAGCTCCAAGCAGGCGCATGCCCCATCATGACAATAGGGATGTTTTTAATGAGAAGGAAGCAAAATGCTTATAGAAGGCTCTCAACCAATGCCTTGGACCTATGAGGCAAGAAACAAGTGATTTTTAAATTTTACAGTTGATATATATGCTTATGACTTCATAAGGGTGTTTTTCACCATCACTAGATTCTTTGGTTCTGTATTATACATAAAGGTCTGCCTTGGGTCACTTCTGACCACATTGGCTGTCACAGATGCTGACTATGGACAAGCAGAACTGGGCTGGAACAGAGGTCCATTGGTGTCCCCAAATCCACCCGCCTTTTCTTTCAGTTACAGCTTGGCTCTTCGCAACCACAGATCACCCTTCCCAGCTAAGTTACGGAATTCTCCCCCATGCAATATGGGCAGAAGTGCTACATCACCTCCATAAAAGAAAAGTGCAGTTCTTCACAGATTTGATCTCCTTCCAGGGACTGGAACGTGATGACCCACGTTTGGTCCTGCAGGTGAGTACAACCTTTTAGGGGATTATAAAGCACAAAAGAGAAAGTGCTGAATAGTCTGTACAACCTGGTAACCAGAGCCCCTTGCCCTCCTCCACTAACCACCTGTCTCTAAGTATGTGAGAGAAAATTTAAGTGCTATCTTACTTAAATCATTGCAGTGCTGGGTTTCTTTGTTACTGTAACATAGGTCCTGTTGGGATTAACACAAGGCAAGGATGGTCGGCAGCAAAGCAGGCTGTGGGAGCTGGGGTTTCTTCCTTCCACCTCCTTGCATTATCCCAGATGAAACTGTCTTCCCTTTTCTGTCATCCAGCCATCCACATCCTTCACTATATTGTTTTAGGATATCAATCATGTTCAGTAGATGTCACACAAAGCAATTTTTCCTAGAAAAGGACAACCATTTATCTGTATGCAATAAATGTCCTTTTCTTTCTTCTACTTCTCATCTCCATTTTTATCTCTTGACCTTTTCCATTCATATGTGTTTTCTCTCATTCTTTATTATCTTTATAAGACAAAACCAGAGCTATTCAAACCTAATTAGAGTAAAAAAAAAAAATGTTGGCAATATACTGTAACAAAGAAACAAAGAAATGGATATAGTAATATTCATACTTGTACAGGCACTGTACAATATTCATACTTGTCCAGGACACTGGGAAACTCTAGATGAGATGTTCCCAATAGAACATGATGGCCAAAGAAAGACAAAGATACTGCTCCATGGTTACAAAACAGGCTAGATGGGTAAAAACTGGAATTTAAAACTCAGACTTTTTGACTTTTGGTCAAGTCCTGATTCTACCAACTTGAGCTGTGCCACCATCAACATTCAAAGAAGCACAGGCTGTGTTTTTTTGTTGTTTTTTTTTTTATTATTACAAAAGTTTATTTTTACATTACATCATTTTGTACATTTTTTTTCCATCTCGATTGTAATCCCCGCAGGTTTCCCATCACCAAATCACCCATGTGCCATCACCATAATCCCGTGCATTTCTCTCCCCCCCTCCACGTTTTGGATCCCATTCCCCACTCCACCCCCACAAAATGTCTCTGGTATATGGTTGTTCATTATTTTTGTTATTTTCTCGCCGCACAGGCTGTGTTTTTAAATTCTGTCTTCTCTTCAATTAAATCTTGCTCCCCTTTAAAATAGAGGGCAAACCGTAACCTCTAGACTGTAGATGTAGGTCTCAAAATTGTGCCAATTGGACATACTAGAATTTGGGGAAGGACATGCCTGGCTGCCAGGGGTGACTCCTGACTCATCTCTTATAACCCAGCCCTGACGAGGTCCTCTGGACACAAGTTCTTTGAAGGCTTCTTCACCACCCACAGCCTATCACACAGTGCTGAGAAAATAGTACAAACTCAGTAAACACTTATCAGTTGATTTCAGATTTGTAGGGTGAGTTTTCCTTGGCTTGCTTTCATAACCTTCTCTCTTCCCTTATGTTGGCCATCTCCTCCCTTCCCAGAGCCCTTCAGATTCCTGGGTCCTGCCAGCTATAACATTGCTAATGAGCGCTTCTGTCATAGGAATCACTGCTCGTGTCCATGCTGTATGACTCAGCACTTACTCACACAGCTGAGTAATGCTGGTTGTTTTCCCTGTGTGCAGCCAGCTTCTTCCATGAGAACTTTGTGAACTATATCGTCAGACATGCCCTGATCTGGAAAACAAATATGACTTGTCAACTGCCCCAAGATGCCAGGGATTGCTCCCCTCGCCCGCCATCGACATCGGTGTCCCTCCTCCCCTCCTCTTTGAAGCTCTTTGTCTCTATGCAGAACACACTCCATGCAGCAAGAGTTCCCTCCTGCTAGCTCTGTCCCAAAGAGCTGAACTTAGCCTGGTTCATGCCCCGCTGCTGTGGTGTTCTAGTTTGTGGGTGTCATATTTGTAGCTGGAATTTCCTTCCTTATGTTAATTCTGTATTGCATATTCTCAAAAACTGTATGAAAGGTAGGCTTTCATATTCACAGAAATGTTCCTTTTGGCAATTTTGAGGCTCTTTATGATGTTTTACTTGCAAATAATTGTCAGCCTAAAGCAACACATTGTCTTTGATAAGTATTATTTTAAATTTGTTATGTTAGAGCAATCAAAACATAAAAGGATCTAGAAAATGTAGGTGGCCCTCCCTGATGGCACAACGGGTTAGGATGCAGCACTGCAAGCAGCTGCTTCAGTGCATGTTCGATCCCCAGTCCCAGAGGGGTTCCACATGGTGTATCAGACCTCTTCTGTCTTGTTTGCTGCTCCCCTCAGCAGTGTACTTCATCAGTCTGCCTGTTCTGCTCCCCATTCTGACTCCTTTCACTGTCCCTGCACCTCTGGCCTGTACCCCAGTTTTGTATGCATAAGTAAATAAATCTTTTTTAAAATGTAGGTAAGTAAGTAGCTAGGCAAATGAATAGATGGATGGATGGATGGACAGATGGACAGAGAAATTTAAAACACTGAACATTTATTTCATCAGAGTCCATTCAGGAGGAAGAGCCACATCAATCATTTATTTGAACAGAGAACTGAATATGAGGAATTAACCAGGCAACCAAAATAACGAAGTGATGATTAAATCAGTGTTGGGGATGCAAATAAACAAATACTGTCACCACCTTGGGCCGGTAGGGAAAGGCAGAGGCTGGAACTATTCACACTTAGAATCTTGAGGGAGGGACCTCTGGTGTTGAATCTTAGACCCCAGGGAAGGGCATTGTTCACCTAGTGCTGGTACCTTTGTTTGGGGAGCGGGGAAAGAACGATGTGAGGTGACAATAGTTGCACACTGTTGGGAAAGCTGCAAAATGAATTCAGCTGTTGTCCCAAGAAGGTACTGGTGGTGCAGGCTGAACATACTCCAGGAGTTATCATACTCAGAGAGAGGAAGGAGGAGTCACCTTCTACCTCTAGTGCTCTGTATGGGTAGAGCTCAAGGGGAGTCAGCTTGTGGAATGGGTATGGCTTCATCCTCTCGCTGGCATCACAGGCTTCAGAGTGGAGACTGGAGAGCTGAGCGATAACTGCTTCTTAGCTATCACGCCTGGGGAGCAGGCAGTTCTCTCACCTGCTGGGCATCTTGCGAAGGGCCCCTTCAGTTCCTAGAGATAAGAAAACCAAAAAACTTGAGCATATATTTATCCGTAGGGACGCTGATGCTGAAAACCAGAAATGCTGACTGTTGCCAAGACAGAGATGAGATGAGCAGAGAACCAGAAACAAGAAGCAAAGGCCAAAGACAGCAAAGGTGTGCTGGAACTGAAGTAACCGAGTGCTAGCGGGCTAGGCGGGGCAGGGAACGGAAGGACAGACGGAGCGGATCCCGCTTGCTTCCGGTGAGTAGATGCAAGAGCTGGTGAAGGCAGAAGATCAGAGCAGGGAGCCAGGACAGAAGCCTGCACGGCACACCCACTCTGGTCCTGTTTCCTTCCTCTGCCAGATGAAGGTTTTGACTGAGAGCATTCAGCACTAACATTCTCTAACCCCACGTCTTCTTTGTCCTTGGTTACCTGTTTCAGAAAGTAAGTACCAGGCCTATGTATTTCTCTGAAGTTTCATTCTTCCTTCCAGGAGGTATAAATGTTTGAGGAGACTTCTCTGTGTACAGAGATAGGCCGGGAGGGAGCTCTCAGCAGTGCTTGGCCATGATAACAAAAGTCAGAATGAAAATTAGGAAATAAAGTAGGTTCTTTTACAAGGCAATTTAAAGGCTCTCGGAGATCTCAGAGCTTTTTGAAGCAAAACTACTTGAATTTTCGGGGAATTAGACAAAAGTTATGAAAAGATGAATTCAAATTGTGCCATTTAATCACTTTGCCACAAATCCAAGAAAGTAACATCTACAGAATCCCTCCAGAGTTTTGGGGCGGGGGTGAGAGGTCAAGGCAGTTTTTAAAGGCACAATTTCTGACCTCATGGGGGTGCTTATCCAGGGTTGGTTGAGCACCTGCGCAAACTAGGCACTGACTTGGGCACACAGGACATGGTTCAATGTGGGGTTAGCGGTGCTCTGTCTCCCCAGAGTGTATCGCCAATAGGAGAGATGGGAACACACGGTCTATATTAACATACACAGCGGATGCAGGCACAGAGAGATCAACCACAGTGGGATTTTTCTGGTAAGTGATCATAAGAAAACAAACAAGGGGCTAAGCAAAACTTGCGAGTGGAGGGATGTTTTGGATAAAGCATGGGCAAGGTGTCGCTGAGAGGAGCTATTTACTCTGGAGACCAGCCTGGTGTAGGGAACAGAGACAGGAGGGAGACAGTTCTGGGAAGAGCAAGCAATGCATGCAAGACCCCAGAGGATAGACAGAGCTGCCTGTAGGGAATCTTGAAAGAAATGAGTATGGCCAAAGCAAATTGAGCAAGAGAAGGGAGAGGAACCAAGGGAAGCTGGAGGGGAAGTAGGACCCAAATCAATCTGTTCCACTGTATGCATTAAGGAGATTACTCAGGCTGCCAGAGAACAGATGGAGAGGCAGGAAGATCAGATCGGCAAGGAGACTGGGCCATAGAAGGCTTCAACGGCTTGGATTACAGGGGAGACGGAGTGAATGGCTGGATTAAAGATATATTTTTGAAAGACTTGAATGTGCCTGTGGCAGGTCAGCAGAGAGAGAGAGATTAAATTCTAGATTATTCCTTGGAGGACAGCATTCATGAAGAAGCTCTGCAGGCATAGGTAACTATCAAGAGATTTGTATTAGAGCTCAAGCTGGACAGGGAGATGAAAGAGAGATAATAGGTGGTTGATTTCCACTGCATAGCAACTGTGCTAAGTGCTATCAGTGGCTACACACGGAGGTCTCTAAGGGTTGTTTCATGGGAGATGTGCGATCTGGCAAAGACATGGATAAGGAGCAGAGTTGGAATAATCTGGGAGGAGAGAGGAAAGTATTACAGGCATGAACAAAAATAGAACATGAAATAAAAGAGCTGATGATTAAACACATTTGCCAAGAAGGCAGCATTAGATCGGGAGGGAAGAACATAGAAGGCAAACGGAGGTGCTCTGCCATGTCATCCAACTTGGGGGAAGTTAGCTGCTTTCACTAGGTACCTGCCAGCCGAGTACGGGCCATGGTCACTCTCAGCTGCCCTGTGACTAACCTCCAGACTAACTGTCCTTCGTTTAGGTGGTGTGTTAGCTACAAATTTTTAATTCAGGTTCATCAGGTAAGCAAAAAGGAAAAGAGAAGGAGGGGAAGAAGGGAGGAGGAGAAGAGAAGACAGGAGAGAAGTGGGGGGAGGAAGGGGAGACTGGGGAGGAGACCAGAGGGAGGAGAAGAAGGGGGAGAGGGGAGGAGGAAAGGGAGGGGGAGGGGCCAGAGGGAGGAGGTGGGAAGAGAAAGAAAATAAGAAAGGGGAGAAAGTTGAACCATGACTGGCAAACTTCACTGAAGAATGTAGGAGAAACAGACAACATAGCAGGAAGATTTATATTCAGATTGTTTTTTTTAATTGAGTCTTCAATTATCTAACACAGTTATGTGGAATACCTTTTTCTGTGCCCACCTGAAATAAATGAGGTGTCTCTGTAGTTAAAAAAAAAAAATATCCACAGGTGCCAAGCCTTTGAATAAATTGCAGTCATTGGCTCTGCCCACATAGAGAACATTTATTTTCTCTAAGCACTTCTGCTGAATTTATCCCAAGTGCAAGGAATGACTTAATTTGCAACTAAAAATGTAAACATTTCTGGTCAAAAAAAAAATTTCTCTGTATATAAAAATCACATTCTATTAAGGATATTAACATACCTCTCTGGGGACCCTCTGAAATCTTCCACAGTATCCTGATTGTTGTCTCAAGTATTTATTAACCAGACTTTCTCTGTAAGGGCGATCCTTGGGTATGATTCTGTCCAATTATTGTGAGAGGAGTATTAGATTTGCCTCATTTGCCTGACTCTCGGTACCTCTTTCCCTCCTCGGAGATTAGGAACTATATTGGGAAATAATATTGATTTATCCAAGCGGATTTGTTTTGCAGGGTGAAAATCATGGTGTAATACTGCGGTGTAAATATGAATGAGCAATTGACCATATAACTAACTATCCAGCCTTTTCGCTGCACCTAGCTTGTTACTTGTGTGCCTACCCGTAAATCCTTGCTTACAATTCAGCACATCGTGTGAGGCAAGGAATTCTCAGGATGTTTTTATTGCCTCCCCTTCAAAATTAGAAGCTCATAAATTAGAAGCTATGAATGTCATGAAAGAGGGCATCTCCACGAGCTGTGAGCCATGCCAGGGTGCCCTTTTACAACAGGTGGCTGGTCCTTTCCCAGGTCTTTTAGTGACTTGATCTAATATCTTTTTATCCCATACACAGTCTTACTCAACTCCCTCCTCTCTGCCGATTCATGGACCAGCATTGGTTATGGGCCAGCAACACCTCTCAGAGCCAGGACATGGGAGAAGTCAGACAGATGTGAATTTGCATCTCCTATTACTGCACTCTAACAGTGTGACCTTGTGCAAATGTAAGTATCCCCCAAGTAGAAGACTAGTTCCCCTAGTTGATTTGTTGTTCCAACCCAATGGTGAAGTCATTTTGTCCCTTGGGTTAAGGTGCTGTCCTTTGGGTTTTTCTACTTCCTATAAAACATCATCTGTGAAGGGATAATTTATAAACATCTGATTCCCCATCAGACTTTCCATCTATTTTTAGCATCTGTTGTTAATTCTCTTTTTTTTTTAAGATTTATTTATTTATGCATGCAGATCTGGGCTAAGGTGAGAGGTGCAGGGATGGTGAGAGGATTCACCAGAGACAGAGTAGGAGCAGAACAGGCAGATCGACAAGGTACAGTACTGAGGGGAGCAGTGGGCAGGACAGGAGAGGTCCGCCACACCATGTGGGTCACCTGTCTCCCCCAAAAAAAGTTATTTATACTTTTGGTATTACATCAATTGTCCCTCCTGAATAATCTTTAAACTAAGTCTAAGTTGCAATTGGGTTCCTTTCTCAGTAACCTTTAGCTTTTCTACATTTGTCTAAAACATAACTTTCAACATAGCTACTGAAGAGAACATTCCTTTTTAAATCACGTGTCTTGCCTTCGCTTGGATTCAAAAGGTCTCTTTCTCATCTTGGGCTGTTTCAACATCAAAATGCCTCCAGCTACTACTTCTAAGCAGCCAGTTAGCAAGGGGTGTCTCCATTGCTGAGCACAGGGAGCAGGAAGGAGAAACCTGGGCTGCCTTGGACAGTCTCCTGTTCTTGGCCCAGTTCTGGCGGTGGGCTTGTTAACCCTTCCTGTGCTGAGAAGGGCATTGCGGCCTGGGAGGGGCTGTGCATGAGATGTAGGCCACATACCCGGCATGGCCACACCTGTGCAGTTGCCTTTATCAGCGCTGGGAGGAATCGTGTCCTTACCACATGAATTACAGCCTTGCCTGGCTCTTATCCCCCAGCTTGTCTCTGCTACCTTTCCTGGGTCCTGTCACCTCAGATGTGTATTTGAGGGACACCCTTATTTTTAGGGACTAGATTTGGGGGACACCCTTAGTTTAGGTACTGACTTATATGCTCTCCCTTCTAGTAGCTCCCTAGACTTTCAGTTCCTCATCATTTCTGGTCTGTGACTCCCTAAGTTTCAGGTGAGTGAGACACTCCCTTGGGTCACTATTCCCAAGGGAACCCAGGGAACCTCCCCTGGGCTTGTGTTGGATTTGGGCCTGAGCTGGGTCTTGACCAGCTAGTGTGTGCCGTTAAAAAAGAAAAGAAGGGCTCTCCCTGGTGGCACAGTGGGTTAAAGTACAGCACTGAGAAGCTAAAGCCACTT